GACTGAATACCTCTGATCATAGCGACTTTACTTTGCCGTTTTCAGCCGAAACCCTAAAACGCCGACGTTCTGTGCTTTTTTTGGAACAGCTTATTTCAGATCGCTGCAAATATTGCCCGCAGCGGATAGTATGCCCAGTTAGGCAGATAATATTCCACCCGGCCTTCGACCAACCAATAAGATCTCGCAAGTTGTGCATGCAGTTTTGAATCCCTCATAAGAGATCCTAAATTTGACCTCAACTGCGGACTGCACACAATGGCTGGATGGGAACATCGTTCTTGAACCATCTGGGTAATCCCACATCTCAATCCAACCGGTCTCAGAAGAGTATTACAATTCATTTTTTTTCCATAGCTCTCGAATGACGCACAAAAGAAACAAATCATCTCCCCGTTGAATACCATGAAGGGATTGACCTCAATATCATACACATAATGCAGCCGCATTGAGATGGTCTTGACAGTTCTTCACCGTTTAATGGTTATCGAACGGTGCGAACGTTCACATTTGGGTTGTTCCTCTAGTACAGCCGAATGCTGGTTTCTCATTTCCTTAGCGTCGGCTGACAGTTCAACCATACTTCCCGACCGAAAGGTCATAGGATTCCAATGTCGGCTTTTAAGCCTAATGGAAGAGACTACCGTCCAGCTATGAGCTATGAGATGGTGGGTATTTAGATCCGTCCAGGAGTGCCAATAGTGGCCGGACCTTATCATTGTAAATCTCAAATCTGTTTTTAGGGGAAGCAATACGTTCTGAAAATTAATCAAAGGGGCTACTTAAGTCTTCCTGGCTTCTCTCGGAAATACTCTCAAACAATTTTAAAACTAAAGCATTATTTCGTCTTCCCTTTCGAACGAAATGTAGTCTTCTGCGAATATTTTTAGCTGGCATCTACCCAAAAACCCTATATGTTAGTTTGTTTCAAATATTTGATAAGGAAAATATAAAAAAGGAGTGATCCAAGGGACTGAGTAAGAGGGAATGATGCAACGACCATCGGACGAAAAGTAGGATTCAGCCGATGACTTTGACCTTGAGACTGATTTACCAGTTTGCGAACGAATAGCTAAATTACTATCCTTTTCAGGTTGAGTCGATACCCTTGATTAGTGGACGTTTCTTTACTAGCGAGAAGGTTGTTTCAGGATAATTTTGTCGAAAAAGAGTGAAATTTCAGTGTACAAACACTAGTGATGAGCAAATAAAGCAATAGCAGACCAGCAATACCTGACCTTTTCTGGTTTCCTACCTATAATGAATTGGCCACAGTATTATATGCTTCCGTCTCCCGACTGTTGATCACGCATCGATTTGGACGCCATGTACACAAATTCCAAAAAGCGGGAAAGGTGATAACCAATTAAAACTTGATGTCGACCCACAGCATCGACTCATTCGAAACACTGACAAAGCAATATAGATTTTTCGGGTATATTTAGATTCTAACCGCAAAGAAGATAGACGCGCGATCACTGCGACAGTACCGGTCTCGTTCAGGAGGCAATCATCAGAGACTGTGGAAATGCGGCATCAAATGAGCAGTTTTTTAGTCAAACAAAGAAACGGACGAAAGGGGTGGTGTTCGTGATTAGACTGAGTCCACGCCGCCTCACGACGGCATGACTACGTGCACTCTTGGGCTGCAATTGGGTCTTGCCTCTTGGTCGCGAGAGCGGAGCGCGTGATAACAGGGGGTATATCAATGTATCTACTGATGGAGTTGGTATCAGACACCCCGGCCTCCTGGAGTTCTCGCCCTGTCTTACTGTTGGCTCACCACATTATCCGCGTTCTCGCAAAGTTGAATTCGTGGCCTTCCTCGGGGGTGTGAATGGCGACCTGAAACAGTGAGTCGTCCCTCCGAACTGTCCGTTTGTGTTTCCCTACTGGCGAGCTAAGGAGTCGGCCGGCCTGTCCTATATAGTGGTGAGGGCAGTCATGGCATGCGATCAGATAAAGGACAGCAGTTTGTTCTCCTGCGTCTATTCTGTTTTTCGTCCGCAAGATTTTGGTGCACATGGTAGGTTTCGGACGGTGAACTATACCCGCGACGAGCTCTGCAGCGACACGGTCCGTTGCCTCTGACACGTTCTTTATATACGTAGGTGGTGCTAGAGTGTTGGTAGCTCTTCTCCGTTTGTTCGCCGCGGAGGAAGCGGCAGAGAAAACTGTTTGGGTAGCCATTCCTTGCCAATTGGTCCCGAAGATGGCGTAGTTCTCGTACTCGTCCCTCCGGTTCGCTGCAATAAGTTTTACCCCTTGAAAGAGTGCCCTAACACAGCCGCGCTTCTGCGCCCCGGGGAAGTGCTATGGTAATCGAGAAGTTGAGTCGTGAAAGTTCAGACTCATACACTTAACGCTCCAGTGATCTCGTGTTCATCTTCTTTGCAACAAGAAAGTGGGACTCGAATATTAGCTTCGGAGTTCAACTATCTTTCACGCCTTCTTTATGTCCGACGACAACCTGGAAAACGGGCTTCAACAATTTGCGAAATAAAATTTGCTCATTCTCCCAAAGGGCTTATTTGTCTTCAGAACTTATATATATATGAAGGTAAATACGTTCTTTAGGAAAAGTAGAAAACCTTCGAGGCCGTTTCGCAGGTCGTCGTCAGACTCGAGTAAATGGTTGCCTGTTCGTGACCCTTATCAGCCATACGAAGCTCGTTTGCTTCGGGAGGTCAACGAATCGGTGGGTGCCCGTTCCTGAGTAAATACATTTATACATACATATATATAATGGTAGAGGGCGCTCACCGATCGTTCATACGGAACTCGCTCGTTCCGTTGTGCCTTAAGGGCTCTCTCTCGAGCCCAACCAGCTGCCGCACAGCGGCGCATGATATATAGGCAGAATAGCATTACCGACAAAGACAAGGGAGACTATAATGGCCATTTCTGGCTTATAAGCCGTCGTCAGCCAGTCATACCCAACCCCGAAGTGTGGAACACCCGAGGCCCGAACTCGCGACCTGTTAGTTAGAAGTCCACGCTTCTAACCATTGGGCCACGAGCCCGTTGTCCTGTCGGTTTCGATAAGGCACAACGGAACGAGTGATTTCCGTAAGAACGATCGGCGAGCGCCCCCTACCGTTGTTTATTCCAGATCGAAACCGACAAGGCAAAAGGCTCGCGAGTTCGTGCCTCGGATTTTTCACACTTCGGGGTTGGGTATGACTAGATGACGACGGCTAGTAAACCAGAAAGGGTCATTCCAGAGTTCCTCGTCATTGTGCAAAATAACATACTGCCTATATCGTGCGCCGCTGTGCGGCTGCTGGTTGGACTCGAGGGAGTGCCTATAAGGCAAACCGGAACGAGTTAATTCCGCAAGAACGATCGATGAGCGTCGTCAACCATTATATATCTAATATATATATATAATATACATATATATATATTGAAGGCAGAGGCGTTCTTTGGGACAAGGTAGCTTATTCCATGAATTTTCGACGCCGGTTACCCAGGTCGTCGTCAGTCGCGGACTGAGATTAAATGTGCCGGCAACAGTTAATATCTGGCAGTGTACATAAAAAATCGATAATCGTTCGCGTTTGCGCCCGTGAGCGGCCGCTATTTGCGTCATTCCGTTCCGACTGGCTCTCGTCTCTTCCATTTCTCCTTGAGAATTTTGTACGCGGCGTCCAAATAGATGTGCCAGTTGATGCACGATTCATCCGAGTGCATCAACCGTCATATCGAGTGAAGTCGGCTGAAGAGTTTTTGTCGCGCATCAAAGGTCTCGACGTAGGGGCAGATGAGATGATCGGGTCTTTGACGTGATCTCCTTATTCACGCCTATCCCACCCACGTTGACTATCGACACTATTTACGGTTTTCTCCGGGAAATGTACAGTGAGTGACCGATCTCATGAAATGTTGGCTGAAATTCTGAAAGGCGTTTTCGATTAGGAAGGATTACTTGGTTGCGGGTGTAATACTGAGTATCTTGCGGCATAATCTTATAACATTTTGCACTCGGCAGCATTTCAGCTTTTGGATAAATTTCTTTTCAATCTCCTGTAGAAACCGTACTTGGTGAAAAAATTACTACTTAAGTAGCATGCATTTTTCCCGTTGATTTTCAATGGTCTTGCGAATTCAAATATATCTTTTAGAGAGCATAAAAATAGTTTTTCTGTCAATCATTTAATAGATGGTCACACCTTCTTTACATTTTAAACTCAAGAAAGTAGTATAATTGGGTTTTTAAAAAGTTTCTAATTATGAGATTTTTTTAAGACAGGGCAATGTTCACTCACATAGCATCGTACCTGGCCGTTTACCACAGCTTCTCATGAAATGTACAGCATAGTTCGCATCCATTGCGACATTTTGTGGACTCTGTATGATATATTTTTAATGGCATAGAAAAATATATTATTTTCTTTACGCGGAGCGCATGCACCTTGTAGACTGAAATCACTAAGCGCTAATGCAGCGAATAATCAGGTTCCAAATTATTCGGAAATTTAAAAAATTCTTAAAACCTAATTATACTACCTTCTTAAATGTAAAATATAAAGAAGGCGTAACCATCTATTAAATGATTGACAGAAAAACTATTTTTATGCTCTCTAAAAGATATATTTGAATTCGCAAGACCATTGAAAATCAATGGGAAAAATACATGCTACATAAGTAGTCATTTTTTTTTTTACCAAGTACGGTTTATACAGGAGATTGAAAAGAAATTTATTCAAAAGCTGACATGCTGCCAAATGCGAAATGTTATAAGATTATGCCGCAAGATACTCAGTGTTACAACCGCGACCACGTAATCCTTCCTAATCGAAAACGCATTTCAGAATTTCAGCCAACATTTCATGAGATCGGTCACTCACTGTACATTTCCCGAAGAAAACCCTAAATAGCGTCCATGGCCAGCGTGGGTGGGATGGGGGTGAATGATGAGATCACGTCAAAAGACACCATCATCTCATCTGCCTCTACTTCGAGACGTTTGATGCGCGACAAAAACTCTTCAGCCGACTTCACTGTCCACTCCCAATTCTTGGTAAAGAAACAAAGTCGCGGGCGCAGCCACTTTGACAGCCCAAAGGTAAGGAGACGATGGGGCGTAGCGGCATCCCGGGCTTGTGGACCTTTTGTAGACCGCAGAAGCGCGCCATTGCGACATCACTGGCTTTTGCGGTCAGCGCATCCCTTCTTGTAAGAGCTTCCGCCTTCTTCAGCTTGCCGATCGTCTTGTTGATGTTGTTTACGAGCTTTTTGAACTCGCTGACAGTCGATAGCTCATAAGCTTCCTTATCTATCAAGAGGTTGCCTAGTTCTGTGCAGTGCTCAGACTTATCATTGACGATAGTCAAGCGCCCCTTGTCGGTGGGTAGAGTGACGATATCCTCAAGTTTTCGTATTTTCAAAAGTTCTCGATCTTCTGCCCTAGAAATCGTCATCTGGCGTTTATGCTGGAGGAGTAAAGTCGACACTTGTTGTCGCATGGCGTTTTTGCACTCCTCGCCTGCCTCACACTTCTGGAGCGCCGATTCAAAGCATGCAATAAAGTCTTCTGGTCGAGCATCTCTTGTGTTGAACTTCGCGTCATAGGATAGAACCGCTAGTTGTTGCTGAGTGAAACGATGAGAGGACAAGTTGTAAACCAAGGCACCGTCAGTAGACGGCTGCTTTGGCGGACTTATTTTCTCAAATTTTCCAGACAACTGGTCATCACGCGACTTGCGGTGACGCCGTGCGCTGTCGAGAATTGCCGCTTTGAGGACCCCCAGCTCGTGTGCCGTAAAGATCGACTGGCAAGTTGACGAATGATGTTCAATCATCTGGCGGTACTTGTGGATGCGGGCGTGGCAGTCTCGTATCAGTACCCTGATCATTTTCTTCTTGAAGTCTGCCATCGTCCGTCGGCAAAGGTCAGTGTTCACAGGCGGTCTATATTTGAGGCATTTCGGTAAGACGTCCTCATCAAGGCACCTGTGCAGGAATTTCAGCTGAGCGTAGGTGGAGGACTCCCGCTTCGCGAAGGTCTCCCATCTGCGTGCTGAGCGGAGGGCTGTGCGCCCATAACATACATCGATATGCGTAAAGATTCGAGGTCCAGACATTGTATCGCGTTCATCATCTCCCGAAGAAGACGAAGAAGAAGAGAGAGCGAATTCATGGACCATATTGTATTCGAAATGACGTTTCGGAAACTTACTCGTTTCCATCATCAGAGTAGCGTAATTGTTGCTCCTGCCGGTCTTGAGTTGTTCAGTCTTGCCGCTTGCCTCGTATTATAGCCGTGCTGGACGCACGAACTTTGACCTGCCTGTTTGCCGCTGACTGGCTTAGACCTCCCCGGCGTTTTTGCACTCCTCGTTTGCCTCACACTCCTGGACTGCCAATTCGATAAATTCTTTTGGTCGAGCGTCTCTTGTGCTGGACATCGCGTCCTAGGATAGAACTGCTAGTTTTTTCTGAGTGAAACGTTAGAGGGATAAGTTGTTAAAGAAAACGCCGTCAGTGGGGGGCTGCTTTGGCGAACTTATTTTCCCAAATTTTCCAGACAACAGGTCATCAAGCAACTTGTGGTGACAGCGTGCACTGTCGAGAATTGCCGCTTTGGGGATTCCCAGCTCGTGTGCCGTAAAGATCGACTGGCAAGTTGACGAATGCTGCTCAATCATCTGGCGGTATTTGCAAATGCGAGCGTGGCAGTCTCGTATCATTACCCTGATCAATTTCTTCCTGAAGTCTGCTACAAAATCCAGTGATATCGCAATGGTGTGCTTCTATGGTCTACCAAAGTTCCACAAGCCGGGGATGCCGCTACGCCCCATCGTCTCCTTACGTGGTATCCCAGCCTTTGGGTTGTCAAAGTGGCTGTGCCCGCGACTTTGTTTCCTTACCAAGGACTGGGAGTGGACAGTGAAATCGACTGAAGAGTTTTTGTCGCGCATCAAACGTCTCAAAGTAGAGGCAGATGAGATGATGGGGTCCTTTGACGTGATCTCATCATTCATACCCATCCCACTCACGCTGACTATCGACGCTATTTACGGTTTTGTCCGGGAAAAGTATGATGAGACCGATCAACAGCTCAAACGTGTTCACATGATCAAGGTCCTAGAACTATGTCTTAAGACGTTCTTTACATTCAACGGCCAAGTTTACGAGCAAAAGAGGGGGGCACTGATGGGCTCGCCTTTGTCTGGATTAATTGCCGAAGCGGTTTTGCAGAGGCTCGAGCGGCTGGTCTTCAGCTCTTACCCCCCAAAATTCTGAGCCAGATACGTCAATGAAACTTTCGTCATCATCAAAGGGAGCGATGTGCAGACTTTCAAGGCACTGTTGAATTTAATCTTTCCCGACATCCAGTTTAATATGGAAGAAGAGCTCAACAATCAGCTGGCCTTCCTTTAAGTACAAGTTACAAAGCTGGAGGACGGGAAGATAAAGATAACGGTCTACCGTAAGGCAATTACCACCAGGCGAATCCTCCACTTCAGAAGCAACCACCTCGTTGGTCACAAACGCAGTTATGTGTGGACTCTCTTCCAACGCGTTCAAACACACTGCAGCAACGACAGTGGGAGGAAGGAGGAGATTAAGTACTTGCACGTCCTATTTAAAGCCGAAGGTTATCCCAAGTCCTTCATACGCAAGTGTCTTAAGAAGCCCCATCCTGAGCGGTCGGACGGAGAAACCCCGAAATTTTGGCTCGCAATCCCTTATGTGAAAAACCTGTCAGAGGCGACGGCAAGAATCCTGAGTCCTTTCGGGATCGGTGTGGCTCATAAGCCAGAGTCAACAAATAATGAGACCCAAAGACCCGCTACCGGTGACAGAACAATAAGCGGTGGTCTACAGTATACCACGCCAAAATTGTGATGCGAGGTATGCTGGTAAAACGGGAAAAAGTATTTGCACAAGATGGCATGAGCACCAGCTTGCAATCGGCCGCAAGGGCAAGCTGTCTATGGTTTATGGCCACGTCAAACAGAGGAACCACAATTTCGCCTTTGAGAAGGCAAGGATAATCGACCAAACCAATGAGAAAATGGGTCAGACCGGTGCTCGAATGTTGGTCCTCGACTGGCACACTCAAAAGAGCCACAGATCTGCATCCCGCCTACCAGGCGCTACGCACAAGGCTCGAGTCAGTGCGGACAAGGCCATCAGGACAGTCGAGCAAAGTGACGCGTGGCCGACAGCCGATGGCAGCGGAAAGTAGGAGAGAAACCGGCTGGGGGCCATGTGACCAGTCTGGGACGCCACCTCACCTCGACGCCCATGAGGCTGAGATCAACTCTTATGAGCCCCAACAACTGATCAGTCCGTTGAGTGACAAGGGGGAGACCGACAACCATGCTGGCTCGCCAACAACTACGATGGCCGCAAAGGGGTCAAAAGAGACACGAGCCCACCAGCGGTCAATCGCGGGGAGGTCAACGCTAATTGTGGATGAACGGTCAGGTCATATTTCGTGCCTCGAGCATAGATATAATACCAGGTACGTATCAAGGCTGAAGCAATCAAGGCCAGCAGGAGCAGCCAATACATTACTCTGATGATAGAAACGAGAGGGGTTCCGAAACGTCAGTTCAAATATAATTTTGTCCATTATTTCACCCTCTCTTCTTCGTCTTCTTCAAGG